TGTAGTGTCTCCACCTTGTCTACATCCTTTCTGTAGTGGGGGGCCCAAAGCTGAGCACAGTACTCCAGATGTGACTTCACCAATGCTGAAGAGAGGGGAATAATCACTTCCCTTGACCTACTGGCAACACACCTACCAATGCAGCACAGTATGCCATTAGCCCTCTTGGCAACAAGGGCACACTGCTGATTCATATTCAGCTCATTGTCCACTGTAACCCGCAGGTGCTTTTCTGCAGAGCTGCTGCCCAGCATGTCCGGGTACTGGAATTGTTCTAAGTGCAGGAATTTGCACTTGTCCTTATTGAACCTCATGAGATTTCTTCTGGCCCAATCCTCCAATTTGTCTAGGTCATTCTGAATCCTAGCCCTACCCTCCAGCATATCTACTACTCCCCCCAGATTGGTGTCATCTGCCAACTTGTTGAGGGTGAGCTCTATGCCATCTTCCAAGTTTTTGATGAAAACATGAAACAAAACCAGCCCTACGACCAACCCCTGAGGCACTCCACTTGATACCAGCTGCCAGCTAGTAGACCTGTGTGAGCTGGCAACGATCCGATCCGGCTTTGGATCCAGCCGCTTTGGATGGCTGTGATTCAATCCAGAGCTCCGGACCAGGTTTCTGCCTCGATCCGGCTGAAGAGGCCCTGAAGCTTTGGAGCCGCCTCGGAGATCCGGCCATAAGGATATAATGGGGGAATCAATGAAATATCTATAACTTTGTTGTTTTTTTGCCTGATTTGGTTTAAACTTGCAGGGATGGTAGACTCTACAGAGAGTATGAAGCTTGCCAAGCTTCAAGAAGATCGGGGCAGGGGTTTGGGGGGAACAGCACCCCAAATTCTTGAAAGCAAAACTGTCATGTCTATGTGTTACAACACAGGAGGGTGAAAACTACAGGGCTGGTAGCTCTTACTGAGGCCACAAAGCCTGCCAAGTTTCAAGAAGATCAGTGCAGGGGTTTGGGGGGAACTGCCCCTCAAGCTGCAGACAAGCATAACTCGTGCCATGGATGACACTGCATGTGTTAAGGTGCAGTGGGGTGACAGCTGCAGGGATGGTGGCCCCTGCTGTGATGCCTGCCAGCTGTGGAGGAGATTGGTGCAGGGGGTCTGGGGCCCTGCACGCCTAGCTGATGGCAGACAGAACTTGTGCCAAGACTGTGTCTGTCTTGGGGCACTTGATTGTCTATATTGAGTCTTTCCTCTCCTTAGCCTGGTTTTGTAGGTGCTAATTGATGCTCGTTGAGTCATTATGTAGTAGCTAGGTCCTGTGTATTGAGCTGGTCTCTGAGTCCCTGGTCCCTGAGTGAATCATGATTGATTGGTTGGTAACTGGTAACACAGCAGCTTAGCAGCCAGGCCTGCAGCAGTGTCTCCCCTCCCCGCACCAAGACAGAAAGTCAGTCCCACAAGCACCCATGGCACAAGTTTTGCTCGTCCACAGCTTGAGGGGGAGTTCCCCCCAAACCCCTGCACTGATCTTCTTGAAACTTGGCAGGCTTTGTGGCCTCAGTAAGAGCTACCAGCCCTGTAGTTTTCACCCTCCTGTGTTGTAACACATAGACATGACAGTTTTGCTTTCAAGAATTTGGGGTGCTGTTCCCCCCAAACCCCTGCCCCGATCGTCTTGAAGCTTGGCAAGCTTCATACTCTCTGTAGAGTCTACCACCCCTGACAATTTCATCCAAATTGGACAAAAAACAACAAAGTTATAGATATTTTATTGTTCCCCCACTATATCCTATGGCCAGATCTCCGAGGCGGATCCGAAGCGCTTCGGGAAGCCTAACGAGGCAGTGCTTCGACCCGGATGTGCTGCTTCAGACCCTGAAGCATCTGAAGCTTCTCCAGATCCGAAGCTCTGTCTGAAGCCTCGCACAGCCCTACCAGCTAGGCACTGAGCCATTGATTACTACCCTCTGAGCCCGATGCTCCAGCCAGTTTTCTATCTTCCTTACAGTCCGTTCATCCAGTCTGAACGTCCTTAGCTTGCCTGAGAGAATGTTGTGGGAAACTGTATCAAAAGCCTTGCTAAAGTCAAGTATACCACATCCACTGGATTCCCCACATCCACAGAGCCAGTCATCTCATCCTATAAGGCAGTCAGGTTGATCAGGTATGACTTGCCCTTGGTGATTCCATGCTGACTGCTCCTAATCACCTTCTTCTCCTCCAAGTGCTTAGAAATGGATTCCTTGAGCATCTGCTCCGTGATTCTTCCAGGGACTGAGGTGAGGCTGACTGGTCTGTAGTTCCCTGGATCCTCCTTTTCCCTTTTCTTAAAAACGGGCAATATATTTGCTCTTTTCCAATCATTTGGGACCTTTCCTGATCATGAGTTTTCAGAGATGATAACCTGTGGCTATGCAATTACATCAGCCAACTCCCTCATCACCCTTGGGTGCATAATACATAAGTGCACCTGAAAAAAGTAAATAAAGTCAAGTTGAATGTACCACTGCTAACATATATTTCCTCAGTTAAGAAGATAAAGTGCAGAAGACAATGGAATAGGAAAAATAGTGAATTCTGGCTCTAGATGAAAATGCTGCTGTTGAAAATTTTCCAGAACAACATGTACTTGGATCATTATAAAAGAGAAGTTTGTTGAATGTCTAAGCCAAATGACCTAGTGTGTTGATAACACAGGGCATATTTTGCAGTTGTATAAATATTTAAATTGTTTTTCAGTCTACAAGACAAGTAATTAGATTTGTTTTAGCTAAAATTGAAACAAAACTGCCTTACTTTTAATACCCGTACTTTCAAGTTAACTGCAATAGCTATATCATTTATAGAGATAAGTACGCTATTAACACTCAGTTAGAATAGGGAAATGTCAAATGTAATCATGAATTTTAGTCCCCTCTCCACTCCTCCCCTCCCCGAGAAATGCAAAAAGACTTGCCTTCCCACTGAGTCTCTACATTTTTGGAGAAAATGTCAGTATGCCCTCAGTTTACTCAGATTTAAGGCATTAATTTACTAATTGGTTGAGCATTATACTGTGTTATAATTAGGGATTCTGGTTTTCTGTGTTAAAGAATCCAAAATTCTCTGATTAAAAACCCATTTTTTCCGTGATTAAAATGAAATGCCATATATACCTTACTCTGTCTGTCTGTAATCCTTTATTTACACCCTGATTGGCTGTCTCAGCTGCCAATCAATGTGTGAATAAAGCATTAGGGACAGCAGACAGTCGAGTGCTGCCATGACGCCAGGGACCGGGTGGGGGGAGCTGGCCTGCCCCACCCCCCCACTCTGTGGAGGAGGTGGCAGCAGTGCAAGGGAGCAGGGAATGGGGTCGGGGCCACCATGGCAGGTAGAGGGTAGGGGGGAGCAGCCCCGGGCCCAAACCCGAACCACCAGAGGGGAATGAGATTGGGCCCAAATTGTGGGGGTGGGTCTGGATGAGGGGAGTGGGGGGCACAGGGTTGGAAGCTGAGCTGTGTCTCTGCCAGCCCCTTGGGGGTCATGGGGGTAGTGGCTCTGGCTCCGGCCCTGGCCCTGAAGCAGGGAGGTGAGGGTGGAAGGGAGTGAGCCTGGCTCTGGACCTCTGTCCCTGTCCAGCCCCGCCCCGGCAGGCAGCAGCAACAGAACAGATAGAGGCGGGGGGGGGGGCCCCGAGATAGAGGGGGGTCACTGGCCCCTTCTCCTCTGCTGCCTCCAGGCCATGAAAATGGAGCAGACAGGGGGAGAGGGCAAGGCCAGTGCTGCTGGCCACACCCTCCCAGCCCTGCAGGTGGTGGCGATGGAGCAGACGAGGGGGCGGGGCCCAGGCAGATCCCGAAGCAGTGTGGGGGAAGGGAGGAGTGAGCTCGGCCCTGAAGGCAGGGGGTGCGGCCAGATATAGACCTCTGTCCCCGGCTGCCCCTCCCCCACCTGTCATTCTTGATGAGCAATTGGCTAGTATATATATCTATATGTATGTATATGTCTATATATGTATGTATCAGTTGAACACAAAGGGCGCCTATACATGGGCAGTGAGGCTGATCAGACATGCTGTAATTACTTGATTAACTGAGTCTGCTGGAGCATGGTAATTACTGTGCTCCAGCAGCCTCCAGCATCTCATGTACTTTCCCATGCTTAAAAATGTGGGTAGTGGCAGTTTATCTAAAGTTCGTTTGAGGTTTAGATAAAGTGCCCCTGCCACCATTTTTAAGTGAGGGGACACTGATACACAAAACACTCCTGGCACTTTAATAATGGTGGCTCTCCGAGTTGCTTTAATTTAGGAGCCCGCCCTGCCTCCCCACTCCTGGAGCTTGTGTATAAACACCCAATTTTTTATTGATATATGTATAACTTTAAAGCAGTTTGGAAGCTTACCAGTGCCTCAATCATTATAATAAAATTAATTCGAAATACCTGTATATTTGGCAGTTGATTTTAGTTGTTTCAGCATGGAAAATCAGCACTTCCTCTGCCCCCTTCACTCACCAAGACATAGCCAGTCTCAATTAATTGCTCAGTTAACCAGGTAATTGTGCAATAGATGTAACATCTAGAGAAGGCCTACATGTCAGTGATGCTGAATTTTGTTCAAGCAGAGAAATAGCTTATTTCAATTGTCATTATTTCTCTATTTCTTTCACGTTTCATTTTATGAATCTAAATCTTCCTCCTTACTATGCTGCCTCTTGTTCTCATTTCCCTTCCCCATTGTCTCTGTTTTCCAGTGATACATGCGTTTGTTACGACAAAAGCTTTTTAGTTTATACGAATGAGGTAGGACTTTTGCTGATTTAAGTTCACCACTAGTGTCAGTCAAAAAAAGAATTGTAAAACACTAGTAGTATGTTTTAAAGATGATTTATCAAAAGAAGGGCATAATGGTTGTTTTGAAGGTGGTATCTTCAACTTTTTTTTTAATCTAATACTTTATATTTAAAATTGTGCAATTATAAAAGCACTGAAGGGTCAGTTTGTTTCCTCTAACTAAAGCTGTTCATGGAGACACGTTAGTTGTGTGTTTTCTTTTCCATAGGTTACAGAATGAAAAATGGATGAATGTAAGAGCTGGTGACATCATTAAACTGCAAAATAATCAATTTGTAGCTGTAAGTAGTTCAGAAAATTTTTTCCAAAGTATAGTTCAGAGGAGTAGAATAGTGACGAATTCTCTCCATATCTTGATTTTTATTTGTGTGTATCTTCTTGTTGATATTGTTTCTCTTACATGTTAACATCAATCTTAGATTTTTCTTTGAGCCTGTATAGTTTTTACTACATTCCTCAAAAGGTTCATATTATAATCAAACATGCACCTGGGTAAAGGTTACACCTGTCTCAAACTATTCATCATACTTATATGGACAATAACTCTTTTCCACTTGTTTGTATATGCCCAGTTGTACAAGTCCTAACATGGTCCTTTTACCATGGTAAAATGGTTTATCCTATCAAGGTCTCTTATATGATAAAAGCTCTTTCAAAGATATGAAACAACTCAGTTTTATAGATTTTGGCCCTAGTGCTATGTGTTTTCAGTGAAAGCTCACTGAAGTACATGGGATGAAGATCTTGCCTTTGCCTTTCCCTTTAAAAAAAAAAAAAATGATTAATCCACTACATATATTTATTAATTTCTGGGTGGGTGGGGGAGACAACAAAAAACAAAACCCAAGAGAAACATTGTAAAAACAGGAACATCCAAAATTGTACTTAGATAAACACTTAATGTATGGCAAGAACTTTTTACAACAACAACAATGGAAACCTCC